TATGTTGTCTTGAATCAGTGTATGAATGTTGTAATAGGGACTTCGGAGGGCTGTAGTTCTGAGATGTTGCATGGTCTCTTGTCTTTCACTCCTACCTGTGTGCTTATCTGTAGTCTGTGCTAAATGGCTGACGTGATTGGTCTAACTATTATTTTATATAGAGGAGTTCTGCATGTGAATTTAGCTCTGGTAGAAGTTCCTGAATTACTAATCCTTGAATAATGGGAAGTTGCTGCCTTTGTTTTTCTTACAGAGGCTCTGCTACTACAAATATGTCAGTAGGGCATTAATTAGCTCTCAGTTACGCTGTGTCTCAGAATTAAGTAAGGCCGTACATCGATACTTTCTTCTGAATCCAGCTGTGGTTATGGAAGAGGTTAAGTCTTCCAGTTGTTTCTCCTCATAATGCCGCTGGGGATTTTTCATCTACCGGTGGATTGGTTTATGTAACTGATCTGTGTTCCATCTCAAAAATTGCCTGTGTTAACTCAAACCAACATTTAAAACTATTTAAATTGACCTGGCTGACATTTTTTACAGTCATGTAAGGTGAACTCAGGTGAACTACTTTCTGAAGTTAAAATGACAGGTTTAAGCCTCTATCAAGTAAGTAATGACAGTCGTTTGGAGGCCATAAGCTTTTTGTTGATGTATCTAGATCAGGATGAGGTCATCCATATGTGGTTTATGTTAAGCTGAAAATAGTTTTAATCTTTTTAATAGCTGTGCATGTGCTGTGTTCAGCTGCCCTAGTGGCTTCAGCAATGGAAGTGCATTTGAACGTATGAAATAGATATAATTGCCCTCATAGGTCTGTGTAATGTAGCTTCCAGCCTAGGACCTGATGTGTGATTTTAATTATTTTTTTTCTCCAGAAAATATGTAGGATGTCTATATGAATAAGCTACTCTTATTCCTACCTTGCTTTCTTTATGTGATTTGGTTTCTTGCTTCCTTTTTGAAGTTGTAGTTGTATGGTACAGCTTGAATCAGTGTGAACTAAGTGTATTATGTGTCACTGTAGTATGTTCCTGTTTGGGAAATCTGGAGTGGTTCTTGTGTTGCTATTGCATGTGGACCACCAGCAAAGTTCACAAACTGCTTTATGTCTCTTTCTCACTTGACTCCTCAGCTTTCTGATGTGGTTGCTACTGCTCTGAGGTCACTGGTTAATAGATAACACCTTTGTGAAAAATCTGGCTTATGTTCCAGCGCACCATGTGCTCTGATGCTCCGGCAGTCATAATCTTCTCATCAGTCTCCTGTTCTTGGAAGTGCTTTCTGCAGACCTGAACACATCTTCATTTTGTTTCTGTATTTGAGCCCAGCTGAAGCCCAAAATTTCTTGTGCTTCAGCTTTTTCCCAGTGTGCAACAAACCGTCATTTAAGGTCAGAGTCACAGAACTGAAAACTATATGAGGCTGTTAGGAGGGAAGTGGCAGCTGGAGATCACCGGAGTGCAGCACTGTATGCATCACGGACTAGAAGGTCTTAAGCAAACCTTCAGTCAGGAAGAGATTATACTGCAGAAAGTTGGCCAGGCAGTGCTGCCTTTGAGTGTTCTCTGTATCGGACATAAAGGAAAGGTGTGGAGCTGAGAAGCATTTGTACGTGGAAGCACCAGAATTAAGACCTGGTCACATTGCAGAAGCCCTGTTAGGCGTCTACGTAGGTCTGAAGATTCATGCTCTGGAGTCTGAGTCTTTGACAGCCACTTCCCTTTGTTCCCAGCCATGTTAGAGTTGCAGCATCATCTATAAGAAGAAAGTAAATCTGCCTTCATTTGCATCAACAGCTAAAGCAAGCCAAGATTTGGGGAAGTAGCATTTGCATTTATTGCCAGCCCTGACTGCTGCCAGTGCAGAAAACTCTAAATAAGTACTCTTTAAACGTTCCACTTTTCCTTCCTCCATAATGCCATCTGCATGTGTGTGACCATAATAATAAGCATCACCTGTGATCTTCAGTAATAGTCCTCTTTTACAGTATCTTCTCATCTTGATGGAAGCAGTCCTCAGCCTTGCCACTGCCCTTTTGCTGACTTTCCAAGCACTAAAATAAATGCTTATCCTTTGGCCAGGTCTCAGTTGCAGAACCCACCCCCCCAAATCCTTATGAAACAGGAAACAGTAATACAGCAGAGTACAGCAGTACTAAAATTAACCTCACTAGGAGGGTCTTGTTCAGCTTTATAATGTTACACTTTACTTTTTTTATCAGCCTCGAATAGTTCGTGCATTGGCTTATGTTGTAGCTTCTCAGCTAGATCTTGCCAGAGTTGTAATTTGTAGAAGATTATAAGCTATTTCCAGCAATTGGGAGAGGGTCCAAATCTTCCAAGATCCAAGGCTTACAAGATCCAGGCACTGCTGTCTGTATGAAGGCTTTTCAGAGACAGGTATGCAAGTTCACCTGGAGAGGATGTGAAAGGAAATTCTGTTGTGCTGAGGAACTGTAATTTCGCAGAGATGTGTTACTTTTATTTACTGCCCTTCAGCCTGACTTTTGCACAGTTTCTGGAAACATGGTGTGGGCAAGTCGCAGTTCCATCTAGCAGGAGCTCTCTTCTCTCTTTCCAAATACCTCTCTCTCGCGCGCTGTTTTATAACGTGGAGCAGGAATACAATCTTCAGCAGTAGTACTGATGGCAGGCTTGAAACTGCAGAAGCACCACCATAACCACGAGTCTGGTCTCCTTTGTTGCAGCCTGTTACATTGCTCTGGAGCCAGACATAAGTCATGGCAGAGCAGCTGAGCTCTGTGGAGTTTGCACTGGGGACAGCCCAAGTAGCCTGAGAGCTCTGCCCCCTGGAAGATTTCCCCTCAAAGCTGAGTTTGGTGTGGGCATGGGTAACCCTTACCTCAGCATGCTTGGGCAGGGCTGTAAGCTGTATGGGAGGCTACCAAAGAATGTAGGAGGGAAGCTTTAAAAGGATCTGATATCTTTAAGCTCTCCTAGAGTTGGAAAGCCATTTTGCAGATACTCTTATTATTTACTGAAAAAAACCAAACAAACCCAAACCAAAAAACCCAAGCAACAACCCTCTCCACCTAAACAAGGAAACAACTGCTTGTTGATTTTTCTAGCTTGTCAGGCTGCGTATCTGCACCCTCCATAATCCCAAGGCCACTTGTTTTTTTTGCCACATCCCAAGCTTTGACCTTCAACACACAGCAAAAGGAAGGTTAGTAGAAATGTAATTCTTACCAATCAGACCTGGTGCTGGAGAATGTGCTTACTTGGTGGGTCTCTTCCTCTTACCTCACAGTTTTAATCATGTGCACCCAGTAGGAGATCTGCCAGTCTTTGAGACTGCGCTTTTCTGGGGGCTAGTCCTCACTTGTAGCCTCTAGCAAGAGCAGCTTCCCAGCTTAAATGGAAACAGTGTGATGTGGAGTTTGACAGCTTCTGTCACCAGTCAAACACCAGCCGACTGCCACGGCAGGTTGACTTCTCCTCATGATGTGGCATCTGGAGAAGAGCCCTTGAGTCCTTCCTGGTGAACAGGGCTCTGCTCTTTCTGAAAGTTTTATTTACTTTCTAGGCATCTACTTGGGATGAGTTTGTGCTGGTTTTGTACTTCTGAACTCTGTGTGTACTTGACGGACAAAGTTTTTGTTTTGTATTCAAAGCAAGATTTATTTTCTGCTGCTGCCTCAAGAAAATCTGGTTTTGGTCCAGGCCATATACAAGGCTTAAAAATCACAAAGGTGGAAACCGCCCCCCCTTCTCTCCCCAAGCAGATTGCATAAAGTGAGTGTATTCAGATTTATGCGTCAGTGTCTTGCATGTTGGCAGAACTTGGTGTGAAAAAGAGGACCCTAGCTAAAACGGTTGAAATAGCCGACGCCCTTGGAACAACCAGTAGAAATAACACCGAGTGGGAGAAGGAAAAGAGCAGAAAAGATGCCTGAGGTATTTTTAAAAGTGCTTCGTCTCTAGCTTGGTATAGATTTTCACAGTAAATAGCAGAGCATTTAGGTGGCCTGTTCTGTTGCTGACTGCTGGCAGAAATGGCAGAACACAAAAGGCTCCCAGACAGTCTCTTTTGCTCCTCTTAAGCTTATTGAGAAAAATCGGCTGGAAGGCATTTCCTTTTTCTTCCTTCCCTTTTTTACCTTGTGTTTTTTAGAGAGTGTTGTCCAAAAAGAAAAGCTTGTTGTTGTATAAATACAACTAAAGAGTGCAATGATTTGGTCTCAGTTTGAGTTCATTGGCTGCTTTTTTCTCATGTGCTTGTATTTAAATGCTTGGTTTGCTCCATTTATGAGACTTCAAAGTGCAAGCGAATAAATGTGGAAATAACCTTTGTATTTTAATGTGTGTGTTGGTAGAGCCAGAAATCAAGAGTAGTGGAAATAATGTAGTGTTACACTTCAGCCTTTTCGTTCTGTTCTAGGCTGAATTTATATTCAGAGATGAAATGTTCTGTAAAATTCCACCTTTCCTGCCACACGTTTGAGAGTGAGGTGAATAACGTTCTCTGCTTGCAACCTGTCCTTTACTTTGTAAATTTGGATCCTCATCATCAAGTTCTTGCTTACGTGAAGTGCTCTGTATGTTTTGACGACAATTCTTAATGCTTTGGAGCAGTGGAATAAGGTTAGATGCAAAATGGGAGACAAGTTTCTCCATCTCCTGTGAAGACTGTTGTAAGGTAGTTGAGTCCTCGGCCAGCCATGTTAGGAGTGTGACAGAATATTTGTTCCAAATTCTTTAACTGATTTAGGTGTGTAAGCTCGTAGGTTTGGATTTTTTTTTTTTTTTAAATTTATTTTAATTTGAAAGCACAAGACTGTTAGGGAAGTGAGCTCTAGGCTAATACATATACTGGAATAAAGTCAGGCTTTGAGTAGATCTAACATCTTCAGTGTGTATACAGTAGATTAGGAGTTTGTAGCCTCTTTGAACAGAAGTGCAGTTTTTAGCGTCGGTAGGGCATTGCAAATTAGTGCTGTATCTGTAAGTAACATATTCTGATTTTGATGTACCAGGTTTTCTTTGCCTAATTCCCCACACGATGGAACAAATCTTTTCTTGACCAGCATGGATATATAAACCTTTTCAAGATGGTTAAGAACTGTGGTGAAGACCCAAGTGGAATGACAAGTGAGGAAACTTACTTTTATTCCAAACTAATTCTGCTGTGATTATGTATTGCCTTGCCTGATGTAAGTCAGCTTTTTTAGATGAGAAATCAATAGCTGAAATCAAGTAGGTATTCTTAGCCTTAGGAAGACTTGCATTTGAGCTCAGCTTGGCATGTTGGGTGCTCTGTCAGTGAAATGTTAGCTGTGCTTAATCTACTAAAACCAATTGTGTGTATTAGTGTTAAAACTTTGCTTAAAGTTGTACGGTCTGTGAGCAAAATACAAACTTTAATTTGTGTTCTGATCATTCCTTTGTCAGGAGGGAGCATCCACTTCTGCTGACGTCTAATTTGTACGTTTGAAAGCATGGTTTCCTGACAGAAGAGTGCATTATATATTTTAACAGCATATCTTTATTAAATGGGCCATCAGTGGTGATTTTGGAAAGATGAGAAGGGACCTACTGCAGGGCAACTCAGTGAAGCTGAAAATGTAAGTTGTATGCTATTACTATTTTATTTGAATTACAAATATAGATTTGTTTTTTTTCTAGTCTCCATCATGTCAGTATATAGGTGTATATTTTTTTTAAAAGCCAGAAGATTCAAATGAACATTACATGATAAATATTTTTTGTAGTTTCAAATTTAAAAAGTATTTAAAACTCCCCAAAACCAAACCAAAACAAAAAATCAATGCCCCAAACCAACCTCTTTTATATATATGGAGTTAACTTCCTTAAATTGATCTAAGAACTTTAAAAATGTATACAAATTGGGCAGCTTTGGTCATATTGGTTGAATGTTGCATTGTGTCAAGGCTGGAGGCTTCCTTTGTCCTTAAAAAAGGAAGAGAAGTAATATTGATCATTTATTTGTCATTTGATCTTGATCATAGTTTAACCAAAAATGTCCCAAGATGCTGAATGCTTTTAGTAAACCTTGAGTAGTGGTTAGAATATTTTTCTGGTCTGTTTGCTTAAAAAACAAGTTCTCATAATGACTTAGAAAAATTGTATTTACTACTGATTGTTTCCCAATGCAGTATCTCTTATTTAAAGAGCTTTGTGAATACTTTGGTATCAACTAACTCACTTAAAAAATAGTTTAGTGTATTTCTTCCTTTATTATGTGTGTTCTGTCTCTTCTTGAATACTACCTGTTCCCCTCTCTTCCTGTACTTGAGAAGATATGTGTATTAGAACTTGCAGTCAGTCTATTCTACTCGAGAATTTTGACACATCTTGAAAATGCAAGCTACCGTGTGTGGTTCCTAAAAAGACATCCCAGTGTAAAAGACATACGAGGTGTGTCAGGCCGTAATCAGATCTTTATTCAGCAACTGCATATACATTTTCATATTACACTGAAAATTAAACAATAATGCACGTCTCAAGCCTGAGACTTATATTGCTTTTCCAGAAGTTTTGGAACAGTCAGATGTGCCTAATACTGTTTTATAGTAGTTTTTATGTGATTTTGTAAAAATACAGTTCTTCAGCAATGTATAGCAGTTCTTAGAAAGCAGGGGGGGATTTCTAGATTTTGCTGTAGAAAACAGAAGGTGTTTAGCTGGACAAATTTAGTGTCGCCTCAGTGTAAACCTGACTCGTGCCTTTTAATTTTAGCAAATGCATTTGTAGCCTTTTTTTTTTTAAAAAATTTCTTCAGAGTTCTGGGAGAATTCTTCACAGCAGGTTTGCTGATACAGCAGTACTGGCTAGCAATGTGATGGCTTGTGTATGTTAGCAATTATTTCCTAACATAAATGAGATCTTCTATCTTTTAAAAATAACATTTGGTTTTGGAGGGTCTTGGGGGGTGTTTTGTTTTCTTGTTCAGTTTGGGTTTTTTTTCCCTTATATTGTTTTCTGGGTGGTTTAAATGTTTTGAATTCTTTACATTATGTGTCATAAGAAAGAGTACACTTTGAATTTTTCTAAGGACAACTTACAATTAAGTTAAAGTTGCAGTTTACTTATATTGGAGCCTGGAGATTTTTGTTGGGTTTTTTTAACATGTTTTTCCCCTTAATGTGAGGAGTCTGACCAGGATGACTATAATACTCCAGCTATTTTGGATTAATTTCTTTTATGGACAATTGTATTAATGAAAATAAAATGGAACCTTTTGAAACATGTTTGCAAGGGAATTCCTTGATTTAAATTCACTCCATGCTTTATGGAAGAATTTTCTTGTATATTTTCCTAAGATTGTAATGATTCATCAGTTAGTTTATCAATTAAGTTACGAAAGTGCAAAAGATAGAGGGGGCTGAGGAAAAACTTGCATATTTTTTCTCTTCTATGTAACTGACAGATATTTTGTGTTTATTGGAAACATTGGTCAACTTTCTGTCCCCTAGGGAATTAAAAACACCTTCTTAGAACGAGTTTATTAAACAATTGGTTTTCCTTTCACTGGAAAGGAAAGTTGAATGTTGTTAGTAAGATGCTGGGATTGAGACTTGAGATCTTGGCCCATCCTCTTGCTGTGCTAGGTCAGCCACTTCTCTACATTTCATTGTTCTGTCAAACAGAAAAGAAAAACGTGTTGTGTTAGGTTGATTACATCGGTGCCTGCCTGCTTCTGTAGCGACTGGCTTTCCTATAATGGATGCTGATCTCTGGCTGCGCATCCCTGTGCCTACAAAATGTGATGCATCCATCTAGCTCCTTAGGGGTAGCAGTACCGGAACAGGCAACACCTGAGGCTCATAATCTACCATCAGAAATAAACTCTGGCCAGCTTGAAAGATGGTGACATTCAAGTGCCCTGACTGGCAAGTCTACTTTTTCTCTTCTAGGTTGGTAGGGTTTGAAAATGACCTTATTTTGTAGAGAATGCTGGCACCTTAATATCTCTTTTATTTGTAAGATTGCTTAATTCGGAAGGTAATTTTCATACAGGCAGATTTTTGTACATATGCTTGTTCGTGGTAGTTGAATTACATTGGGATAAGATCCCTAATGTCAGGAAATGTGTATTTCTGAAGAGCTATGAGTGAAGAGGTGCTTGTGGATTTTGTTTTGCTTTGTTTTTAAAGATGAAGTTGAGGCTGCCACAGGAGTACTGTTTTTCATCAGTGCTGAAATGAAACAGCTGTTTGCTCTAATTGGATGTGTGTCAAACAGCGGTACCCAGAACTGACTAGCGAACGTCCGAGTATATTGCAGCCTCTGGCTAATTGTCTCAAATTCCCTTTCAGTGTGTTCAGCACAGCCCTGCACTTCTAATCATTATGTTATTACAACTCCATTTTCATCTTGGAGGGGAAAAAAACCCCCTCATCCACAGCAAACTACAGATTGATTCGTGCTGTGTTATCCAGAACCAATGAATGTAGCTAACCTGCAAGTCTGGCTATTGGGTTATTCAAAATTATTTCCTCTTTCATAGTAAACTAATTTTCAAGAAGAGAAACATGAATATCTGAAAAGGCAAGTCCCTAGATAAAATCCTCTGTAAAGTTCAGGACATGCTCTTAAAAGTGAGTGAAAATTAATTCCTTCAGTTGAGCATGTTAGTGTTATCTCTTATGTTATACAGTACAGGGTAATATCAACAGAAGATACTACCCAGGAATCTGTCCAGGAATTTTATTGAAAATATTGTGGTAAACAAAGGAGATTCTGTCAAAATATCTGTCTGTGATATTTGCCATAGTGAATACCTTATTTAAATGAAATCCTGGGCAACAGTAATTTAGCTTTTGATAGGTTTAACAATTTCTACAATTTTACTAAGGCTTTAGGTGGAGACATGGGACGAAATGTGGATCTGTGCCTTGCCTTAGCATACATGAATGTAGTGGGCGTCACCAAGGTTTTCACCTGTGTGTAAGGTCTGAGGTGACTGATGTCTTTTTCCCTTATGACGTCTTTTCCCTTTTGTGATTAATTGTGATAAACAGTTAAGGCCTCAATAATCCTGAAGCAATGCAGTGTAAATTTGCTGATTGAGATTCATGTAGACAGAAGTGTGTGGATTCGTTAGGTCATTAGAGTAAGGTATCCTAATATATAGTGGGATACACAGCCTAATGCAGGAAATACATTGAGAAGGGAATATCCTATAGTGAAGTAAGGCAATCGATTGTTAAAAGTCCTAGCTACAGAGCATGTTCTTCAGCAGCAGGTCCTTACAGGATCGATCATTGTAAGGGAGTCGGATTAAAACATTGACAACACTTGGAGCATTCTGCTTAAAGTCTCTTGGTGCTCAGTAATGTCAAGTTGCATGAATACCTTTCTCCCTTGCAGGATATTTTCTTTGTCACTGAACCTCTTTTAGTGAGGAGCAATCACATTTTTTAGCACTGACACACTGTGTGTGAAGTTAGGTCTCAATCTGTTTTACTGTCTGGAGGATGAATCAATTAGAAATACGAATTTGAAAAGCATGACTTGCTATACCTTTTCTTTTTTAAATGGTTTTGCTTGAATACTTTTTTGTGACAGTAAAGAATGGTGTAAGGATGGCTAATCAGAGAGGTGAACCAAAAAAAGTGTAATGAAAAAAACAGCTGCAATTGTCCCAGCTTGGTCTGGCTAACTAGCATCTTCCACTGTCATTTCTCTTTGTTTTTGGAAGTCCACCTCTTCCTTTTCCTGTGTATTGTTTTCCTTGTGCATTTCGGACTTCCTCGACCTCGTAATTGTTTGACACCTGTCTCATTTGTCTGTCTAAGGTCCATATACATATGGTAGAAACTCCTGGGATCCTGGAGTTGTCTGTTTTTCTTATATAAATTTCTATGACTTGGGAACAGTCCAGGCTCTGCTAAATGATAGTTCTCTTGGTTGCCAGAAGAGATTGCTAGAGAATAATGGAGAAGTGCGCTCCAGATCTGGCACTGATCTGGCATTGTCATTTGTGTGCCAATGATCCAGGGAAGGAAGGACAAAGTGAACTTGGAAGTGCTGCCATTGATTTATCTGTACATATTGAATTGGTCATCACTGGTGAAATAATCTTATAGGGAAATAGGTATTTTATAGCCTACTCAGTAACTGTTATCATTAAATAGTGACTCTTTGCTGTAATTAACTTTAGATTCTCAGCCTTACCAAAGTTTGTTACTCTTCTGAATAATTATTTGTAAAAATTATAGTTTATTATGAACATCGCTAGAACACAGCAGAGCTTTGATGTTATTTCATATAAAGAAAAAAGTGAGATCATGCCATATGCTGTGCTTGTATTTCAATTAATAATCACTTTCCTTTTCTATACAAGATTAATACAGTAATTGCAGTTATTATAGATGCCACAATGTTTTAACTAGATGTATTCAAAGGCTTTATGGCAGAAGTGTGTGTGTGTGTGTGTGTGGGGGGGATGTTGGACAGAAGCCTCTTCTTGCTTTATGGCTTATAAAGCTATAAAATGTTTTTAACTATTAAAAAAAAACCCACACAGGCTGAGATTGGAAGGCACTTTGCATGTCATCTGGTTCAACCCACGTGTTCATGCAGGGTCACCTGAACCAGGTTGCTCAGGGCCATGTTTGCTCAGGTTTTGAGAATCTGCATGGTTGGAGATTCCACAACCTCTCTGGGTAGCCTGTGCCAGTTTTGGACCATTGAAGAACCCCAACTGCTTAGTCTTAAAAAATCGTGGAGGTGGGGGGAAGTAATGAAGGTCTTCTGGAAAATTTGGAGATGTCTGTTACGTTTTCCAGTACTTTCTGTTAACAGAGTATAAGTGTTCCATAATATTAACTGGTCATCAGTAGGTGTTAGCAGAGGAATATTTATGAACTGGCTCCCTGCATTGCTTCCTTTACGTCTCTGGATTTTTCTTTTAAACTCCATTTTATTTGTTCTCTCTTCCAGATGCAGATTCAGTATCTAGTTAGTTAGAAAATAAGGCTGCTATTTAGCTGTCAGCCATTTGAAAAGAAGAAAGGCAGCCTTCTAGAAAATGCTTTCCTGGATGCTTAGGTTTTTGTTTTTTTTTTTTTTTGCTCTTTTAGCTATCTAAATAGGAGATATGGAAATGTGACTGTGTATTTTCTTAAAATTTCTCTGTTCTCTTTTTTTTTTCTCCAGGTCTGCTATTTCTGTTATGCGTATCCCAGTTATGAGAGGGCTTTTGTGTGATTTCTGAGCTTGGTGCTGTCAGCCTCATGTGAACAAACTAAAACAAAAAGCAAGCTGATTTTTTTGAAAACAAAATGCCACGGAGAAGGAAAACTGGTGGGAGTCCTTCTCGGAAGAATGGCAATTCTGACAGACCTGCTGTTGCTGTATCCCAAGGGGACCCAAGCTGCTCAGTATCACCAGCGGTGCATAGTGTCAATAAGGAAGAGCTCTTCAACAGCATGTCAGAAATGTTTTCTGACCTAGATCCTAGTGTGGTTTATATGGTTCTGTCTGAATGTGATTTTAAAGGTAAATAATGTACAGTTGGCATTACAGTTTTGTTCCATATGCAGACAGCTCTTAACTAGGGTGACTCCAGAAAAGTTGATGTGGGTGTTGCAAACGTGTTTGTGAGTTTAACTTTAATGAGTAGGTGAGTCATAATATTTTGAAATTTTATAGCTCTTTCCATGCAAGATTCTCCAAGTTTGACAGCGTTTCTGTGAGGCTGGTAATCTGCAGTAGCAGTGTGCTCCATAAATGGAGCTATAGTTTAAGTGGCTTGTTCTATGACACAGACCAGGCGGTGGTAGAGTTGTGAGGAGAACCTGTTTTTCCCAAGTAGTTTCTGTGCTGTATCTGCTAGATGCATAAACTGTTTCTGCAGGAGGAGTATTTTATGTTCTGGATCACAATTTTTCAAGACAATGGTACACCGTATGTGGTCCTGGCAGCGTTTGCTTCTCTCTGAATACTTGAATTGAGCTTTTGTTTTACTTTGTTTTGCACTGTCATCTTGTCAGCTCCACTGAGGGTTAGTTTTTGCAGGATAAATTCTGTTTGTCATGTTGAATTCTCCGCTGCCTCGCCTGGAGTGTGTTTCTCCCCCTGTATTCTGCCAAGCTACATACCCACCTCTCCTGACAGACTATTTTCATGTCCGTGCCCAGTCCTTCCCATGCTTTTCTGGTTTTGAAATTCTTCTATATACAAGTTCATTCACTTACAATAAAAGTACTGGATAAGATGCTGGATAGCAATAGCTGAAATGTTATTTAGTAGGGGAATAAACCATGTATGGAGCATTTTAATCAATCTGTAGTTGTATGATCAGATGTGATTAACTGAGATTTTTCTAAGACAATCTGCAGAGAAGGCAGAGTTTGGCATTTTTTTTTATATGTATGAAAGCTAGGTAGCCATTAGAAGGACTGCTTTTATTGCCTTTTTTACCTTACCTAAATTGTACAGAGTTTATAACTTAATAGCGCTTTCACATTTGTTGCTATGATTGCTATTCCTTTTAAAATTGAAGTTGATGGAATTACTGATTCATGCTTTGAACTCTTTATAAGATTTACCTTTATCAAAATAACAGATTTATCTAGAAGCTTATTAGAGAATTCAGTAAACACGCAGAGTTCATTATTGTGTTATACTATTAACAGTAGTTTAAAAATTGAAAGATTAGCATCTTTTCATATGAGTAATACTAAGTCGCTCTCATATAGTAGAGAAGATGGAAGGACAAGGAATATTTTATTTAATGTGTGCAGAAACAGTTGCGCTTCAATGGACTTAGACCTTTTACTACACTGTCTTTCAGGAAAACATCTTAGCCTTAGAGCTTGGATGATACTTGTGCCGGGTTTTCATTTTGATCATGTCGATCACAGGCAACCTATACTCCATTTAGTGGCTTTACAAAGATACTGGATTTTTCAGGCTATATTAGGTATGACATTTTTCCATTGGGCCTAGCCATAATGAACATATTTTGCATAGTTTTATAGTGTTTTTCAGTTTACTTTACACTATTTTGCCTATATGAGATAGGTTAGAAATAAGAGGCCATTTAAACACCCAGTTCTGATTTTTTTCCATTAAACTTAATTTTTAGACACTATTTCCCTTTTTATGCTTATTAGGTTATTATTTTGCAGTATGTCTGTATTGAGTTCTGCCTCTACCTCTAATGAGAAACAGATCAAGGGAGTTGAAGAAGGTGTGTTAAAAGATGAAGACAAGCTCTTTTGTGTTTGTCTCTTTAGTTGTGACAAATACTTCTTCAAGTAAAAAAATTGCATTCTCATCAGCTTGTGTTTGTTCACTTGACCATGCTTTATTCTCTTTACTTTATTCAACAGTAGAAAATGCTATGGATTATCTGCTGGAGCTGTCCACCCATGCCAAAGGAGTAGCATCTTCAAAATCCTTGGCTTTTGGTTCAGTAGCATCATCACTAGCTCTTGTTAATCAGCAAAGATCTGTTGCAAATGAAAGAATGGAGGGAAGTATTGCAGAACAAAGTAATTCTGAAGAAGAAAAAAAAAAGGTCCTATCACCTGATGCACAGCTGACTGAAGAACTGGATTCTTTAATAGAAAATGCCTTTCAGAGATACAGCTTGAGTGATGAATTTCCTAATTCTGCAATTGACCAAATAGTACATAAGCACTCTGTGGAACATGATGGCTTTAGTGAATTTCCTGAGTGGGAAAAATCTGATTCAGGTTGCGATGTCCTACTTTTTCCACAGCAAACAGGGACAAATAATGAGGTTTGTAAAAACTTTGTCGGTTCTCAGCCACCAGTGGGTCAGCTGAGCGTCCAGACAAGCTCACCAGCTGTGTCAGACCCCTTAGCACAGATACTGGAATATTCTGATTTGTCAGAAACAGATGTTCAACGTGATGTAGTCAATAAACAATCGAATGGAGAAATATCATGTGGAAATTCTGAACAGACACAAGATACTGTTTTGGGTCAAAAAAGTGTGACTGCTGCTTCTGGTGAGTCATCCCAAAGACCTCTGGAACTTGGAGTAGCTGCCACCGGAAATCCTGATTCAGGGTGCCTGGAACAGCGTGAAGAGGTAGTGACTGCCTTTATCAGCCACCAGAGCGCTTCTCTTCCAGAGGCCTATGTCTCTCTTGAAACATCCAGTTTCAAAACACCCAAACCTGCAGATTTTCAGCAAACTCAGCAGGGTTACAACTTAAATTTTTCTACACCATCATGTCAACCTCAACAACACTGGAATCTCATGGCTCCCATGTTTTATCCATCCAGTGGAAGTCACAGCTTTGTAACTCCTGTGGCTGTCTGTCCAGGGCAGTGGAGACCTGTTTCAGACTATAGGACTTTGGAACAGGGACTTTTTTTTTCCTCTCCAGTGGTTTCAAATGCCTGGGACAGCAACCCGTCTCTGAAGGTATGGGGAAATCAAGATAGAAACACAAAATTGAACCTCTCGCAAGCACAGCAGCCACCTGTTTGTCACATGATGAGAAAAAAGATGCACCTTATAGGTCAAGTACTTGTTCTTCTCAGAGGTGTTCCAGGATCAGGAAAATCATATTTGGCAAGGTAGAACATCTATATTGTGAGCTTCTAAAAGAAATTGCTTAATTGTGTACAGGATTTAGTGCAGGCAGAGACAATTTTCTGACATTTGTAAATAGTTATGCATATACCCTAATTGCTAGCTACATGGCAGTGTAGCATGATGAGTGGTAATAATTGCTGAGAGCTGAGTTGCTTGCAGCTCCTTGACCTCTAGTGGAAATTGAAATAGGAGGGGTTAATTTTAACTTCTGTCACTGGCTGAAGGAGTTTATGCAGTAGTATTAGGTCTGCTGTGTTCTTTCAGTCCGTGTTCATTTCGTGTGTTTCCTTCCGATAACACGGATGGAAATATGCCAGCTCTTTATCGTCAGAAATTCCCCTTCCACTGTTGGAATTCTTTTGTGAAAGTAGTATGTGTGGAGCTTCTTGGGTTGAATTCTTGATTTCCTTCTAGATCGAGTTTAGACTCTTTTGGCTGGCACCTGAAATATTTGGTGCAATTAAGACTGTATGTGTATTTGTCAGTGTGAAAGTATGTCACTAGATGTAGATGCAAAAATACCTCCCTTGTTTTGAAATGAGACTTGTGGGGAACCTCTGTCAGCTCTTTCCCCTAGATATCCTCAGCCTTTTGAAATGGCAGAAAATTATTATAGAACCATCTTTGCCTGGAGGGTGATTTTTTTTTTTTTTTCCCTTACCTAAATTTGCTACTTCCATTTAAAATAATCTTGGTTTTGTGCAAGAGACTAAATGCATATATGTATGATAGCAGGTATCAGGGCTGGGGAGGAAAAGGGGGAAAAGCTATTTACTTGTTGATCTTTCACAGGACTTTGCTTGAGGATAACCCGGGTGGAATAATTCTTAGTACTGATGATTACTTTTATAAACATGGACAATACCATTATGATCCCGATTGCTTAGGGGAAGCACATGACTGGAACAGGAAGCGAGGTGAGAAATAAATACGGGATTAGCTTGCTTGTTTACAGTTCAATGCTTGTGTGCTGTTTAAAAAGCTGCCTGTCTTGTAATGCTTGTGTCACAGGACAAGCATTTATCCCATCATAGAAGTATTTCTTAATATGTGTGTGGAAAAAGAATATGAGCACAAACTCAGAAGTCATCTGTTCATTGTATGTTTTGCAATTAAAAATGCCAATGTCTTTGTCAGAAGATTGTTTTGTCCTCAGATTTCGTCATGGTATGTATTTTGAGTTGTGTTCCATTTGTGGAGTGGCAATCTGTACCATCTCCCAGAAATATTTCTTCTGAGATGAGCCATTATATATGCATATGCAATAAGTAATGAGGATGTTGATACAAATAACACATATTTTCCTGCTCTTGATTATTTTTTCTCTTGAGCACTAAGTTGTTGGCAAATTTAAAACAAAATTATATGAGCAAGAAAGAATAAATTATTCCCCCCCCCCATAATCGGCGTATTTTTTGACAGTGGCTCATGCTACACTCACCATAGAACAACTCTTTTTAAGCTTTTATTTGCTCAGTTTGAACCATGATCACTTTTCTACTGTCAGATTTCTAACCAGTGGAGAAATAGGTTAATAAGAAATGTGTGATTCAGCGATAACTTTGATTGTTCAGATGCATTGTAACATGGCTACAAAAACACGATGCTGTATCTCAAAGCTAGAGTTTCTAAACATTTCGTTACTGTATATTTAAATTACAATAATTCTTTTGATTTTTCATATTTTATACAGTTTACAGAGTGGACTAATCTTAAGACTGTTAGAAAGCCAAGAATTTTGTATGCAACAGAGAAGTCCACTTTAAGGTGATCATGTAGTTTTTTTGGTTTAATTTACTGATTGATTGGTCATCTTTGTGCATTTTACATCTGCATTTTCATTCCTTTATTACCATACAGACGTTAATTCAAAAGAATAATGCCATATCTCAGTAGTTTTACATGTGAGGGGGGGATTTCTAAAATAAGAGGGCCTTGAAACAGATCAAGCTGTGGCAAGAGTTCTTTACACAGTGGTTAATCATTATGGATTATCTACTTTAAAAAATACTACAGATTTAGAGAATTACTATAAATGTTATGTGTCTACACTATTATAACAGAATTAACTATATCGCATTCTCTTGTACGCGTGTGTCTTTCAGCCAAAGAAGCATTTGAAATGAGAATCTCTCCTATAATAATAGACAACACAAACATACAAGCTTGGGAGATGAAGCCTTATGTTACTTTGGTTAGTATTACAATTTGATCGATGTGAAAAGGGATTATTGACTAGCATGACAACAACATGTGTTTTAAAATGAGATTGTCTTTCTCAGTCTAGCTGTTACTCCACAAAGAAGTCTGGAGGAAAAAAAAAAAAGAAGTGTTACGTGGAATCATATTACCCAGTGTCATATTCTGTATGCATCTGAGTATTGACCTGGCCTAGTTTCTAAGTGACAAAGCCAAGTGCTTTGCACTCGGGAGCAAAAATAAATATTATTGAGGAAACTGAATTATGTTCCTCTTTTATATGATCAGTAAAATTATAAGATACTTCTAAAATATAATCAGCACTAATTAATAAGAGTCATGTTTGATGCTCCATGAAACTTGAAAACTCAGTTTCATCCTAAATATGATATAGAGGCAGGTATCAGCTGACCAGTCAGAGGGCTAGAGTTATCAAATGTTGCTAGCTTGCTTGAAGTTACGCAGATTTACTTAATAGTTTTTATTGAAGTGATGTAATCAAAATAATGCACCTGCACCATTTTGTGATAGTAGTGTAGTGCCTTTATTTAGTGACTAAAAGTATCAGCTTTTATTTAGTACTAAGTAAATGCAATCTACGTTTAACTTCCAAAGATATGTTTAATGATTTAAATAACCTGGTGAAGTCTGTTATAGGTTTCTCATACTCCATTTTTCTGGAGCTTCTCAGCTTTTTGCTTCATTGTTACTAAATGGGTATCAGCACTTTTAGACTCCAGCTCTTATTTTGCTGTTGATCATTCATCATTTTGGTTGGTAGTTTTAATAATTTTTTTATGCTTGAAGAACTGCATTGTTTTATAAAATTGGTTCTGACTAACAAATAATATGTTGGAAGAAATATTATAAAATAGATCTGGGATTTCTCCTACCGTGGTGTAGAATCACATCAGAGAGTGTAGTATGTAGAACTGACAGCTTTTGAGCAGATACTCTACGTATGCTGCATGTGGTAATGGATTAGTGAACAGTGAGACTTAACACGGATAATTTTTATTAATAAAAATTTTATTATCCTTGCATTTAGTAACAAGTGTCAGATTAACAGTTCTTTTGAGAATTAATTCCTTGGTTTTGCTGTATACTGAAATAAAGATACAACAAAAGTTCTTCCAGGAAGTGCAGGGTTTGTAAGGTGGTAAGATTTTTTTCTGAAAACGGGAATGGGCAGAAATGGCACAGTACTCAGTGTTTCTTCTGATTAGACTTTAGGCTCCTTTTCTGTCATGATAAGACTGGATCATATAAGGACCATTTACTTGCAGCCTGCTCAAGTTTCCCATGTGGCAGGAAGGCTGTCTGCAGTAGTTATGTTAATGTAACAGAATTGCTTGGTTTGGGACTGGCTCACATCTGGTCAGCTCTGAATGTAAGCAGTGAGCTTTTCTCTGTCTTGGAGGGGCTGCGTAGACATGTGCATACTATGACTGGAAAGAGGAGGTGTTCTGCAGTCTTGACGTAGAGGAGGTAATAATTAAAGGGATGATACAAAATAGTGATTTCCCCCCCCCCCCGTGATCATGTCACATTTTTAATTTTATGATGAGATGCATATACATGTTTTTAAAAATCTCAGTTTATATAATCATAAGTGAAACACTGAACAAGTAGTATGTTATCCCAAATGTTTAATTGGTTTTGAAAAATACAAAAAACATCTTTAAAGAAACAGGCTATACATGTTTTGTGCTTTTTCATACAAATAAGAAATGGGTCATGTGGCTTGTTCTGTTTTATATCTGTTTTATTCAGGCTCAGCAGTTCAAATACGAAGTCATGTTCCGAGAACCAGACACTTGGTGGAAGTTTAAACCAAAAGAACTTGAAAGGTGAGAATATAGAGAAAAAATTCATATTAGATTGTATATCTTTCACAGTCTATGAACTACGATTTTTAAAAAGCTATCACTTAGTACAGTAGCTGGTGAAG